ATTAAAAATGAACATATTGACAGATACCGATATGGTGGCCGATATATCGTGCATCCCTATTTACTATTATTAATATTTTACTTTAAGATCTTTTTTTATTCATTACTTTACAATTGAATTTAAAATAATAATAAAAAATGGCTAAGATTGGAGTGCTCATTCCTCAGATTGTCTATTAAGATCAAAGTACACTTCAGGTGTTTTTTCTCGCACACTTTAATAACTGAAACTTAAGAACAGAGAAAATAAATAACCAGTGGACCATATTCAGAGACACTTACAGGGTGGGCGTGACACACTCTCGCAATATCCTCACATGACGCTCCATATTCCATAGCTAACGCAGCCTCGTTAATCATCTCGCCTGCCCCCTGTAAAATGAAAATTCCATATATGAATTATAATTTCATTAAACATCCTACACAGGAAAAGCAAAAGCAGATATATCATTACCGTTCCCAGAATGTGTGCTCCCAGCATCCTGTCTGTGTCCTTGTGGCTGAGGATCTTTACCAGTCCATCTGTATCAGCATTCGTCTTGGCTCTGCTGTTAGCCGCGAACGGGAATTTGCCCACTTTATATGGCACGGCCTAGAAAATAAAACAATTTAGAAGTACATGTTTGATGTGACATACAATCTAAGATGGAGAGGTGTGCTAAAATAACTACGAGTCTACTCACATCCTCTTTGAGTTGTTCCTCGGTCTTGCCGACCCAAGCGACCTCAGGGTGTGTGTATATAACAGAGGGCACACAGTTGTAGTCGATATGGACGGCTCCTCCTGCCATTCCCTCGACACAAATAATACCCTCATCCTCGGCTTTATGGGCCAACATGGGTCCAGCTACAACATCTCCAATGGCATGGATACTAAAAAGAGATTAGAAACACATTTGGACTTGTTTGTCGCAACAAATGAAAGACAACTCATTTGAAGTCTCCATACCTGGGCACTTTAGTCTGGAAACGGCCGTTGACAGGGATTCTCCCGCGGTTATCCAGTTCGATTCCGACAGACTCGAGACCGAGGCTTCCGGTGAATGGACGGCGGCCAATGCACACCAGCAGAACGTCACAGGTGAGCGTCTCGTTCTTGCCACCAGCTGCAGCTTCCACACTATCCAACGGAAATGACATAATGGGCAAAAGCACTAGAAGAACTCAATCCTAAACATCATTTGGAGAAACGGTGCACTCACGCCACGTCGATCTTGCCGTCAGGTCTCTTGGTGGCGCCCATGACCTTGGTGCCCAGTTTGAACTTCACCCCCTGCTTCTGGAGGATTCTCTGGAAGTTCTTGGAGATCTCCATGTCGATGCCCATTCCGCCGACGTGGCCGAGGAACTCCACCGCTGTAACTTTGGAACCGAGCCTCTGCCAAACGGACCCCTGGGAACAGACAGAATGGATCTCAATAATCAAACCCAATTCAGAAGCATCATCAGTCCTCACATGTTACAAACATGCACTTTCATTACCCAAATGAACAATTTAGATCAGTCTTATGATGAATAGGGGATGAAATTCTGTAATATTCACTCCTTAACCTTCAAGCGTCTACTCACCAACTCCACGCCAATGACTCCTGCTCCAATCACAATGAGCTCCTCTGGAACTTTCTTGAGGGACAAAGCACCGGTGGACGAGACAATAGTTTCTTCATCAATCTGTCAAAAGGGGAAAATATTTAAGATTTAAAATTCACCATCTGAACGCAACATACTGACTCAGGGAGCATAATTACACAAGATGGCGTACGAAGCAAGAAAAATGTTGATCACAAAATATTTACACGATTTAACACACATATTCAAAGTAAAAACCGAAATCGTGATATGACAGTGCGATTATCAATGAACCAGTAATGAGAAGAAATGGCTGTTGTCAACAAAAGAGAAGCTCCCTGCGGTTTCCAACAAAATAAAACTTGACAGTTTAATGTTTGAAAATGAAGAAATTAAGAGTTAAAAATATTAGTATTGTCATTTTACAGCTGTACTCTTTAATAAAACAATTATTATAATTAATGTTTTTTTCTTATATACCAGATTTTTTATTTTACAGTAAAATACTACAATTGTAATTTCTTATTTTGTTTAATAATTTTAATAGTAGTAATAATAATAATAATAATTAAAATGACTAAAATCAATATTAAATATTTTAATCATTTAAAATGTACCATTTTACCCAATATTACTACATATTTTTTATGCGCATTAGTTTTGTAAAGTTATCTTAGCAACATGCTAACATCAAACGCTTCTGAAATCAGTGTTGCACGAAGATACTGCCCACATAGAATGTTCCAAATCGCTCATTTATGAGGTTCCATATCAGGTAGGATCAGGGCTTAATTTGAGCCGGAACACGCCGGAACATGTTCCAGCACCTCCGACGTTGGATCCGGAACCTTTTTTATTGGATCCGGCACCTCCTGTGTCACTATGGCAAATTAATAATTACTGTTTGTGTAAGGTTCAATGTTGTTATCTGTCTTGTTAGTCTTTATTCCCCATTGAAGTTCCACACAAATCTTGTGTTTGCAGTTTCGATGCGTTTTTGAGGTGAATTTTTTTAGGGTAAAGTGGGTCGCACACCGGACGAGAAGCGCAGCGCCACGTCCAGGGCCGGCTCTGTAAATCTGGGGGCCCTAAGCAGGAAAGTTTTGGGGCCCTGCCTTGCAGTAAATAATGGAGTATTGCCACCGCAAACCAGCAACTGTATACAATCTAACCCCAATAAATCTTTAATGAAATTGTGTCATATAGCCTACTACAGGTGTTGCTGGAGTCTCGATCTTTAAACTTATTTTCCCTTTTCCACACTTTAAAAAGAGGGAGAAGTTGGACCAGTAATTTCTTTGCTTCCTTCTAAAGTGATTTAAACATATTCTTCTTTTTTCTGCACCCGATGGATAGACTCGTTTCATTTTTGCGGTCAAATTTCCAAGTAAGACAACGATCTGACACGGTTGGTTGACTTAACGCAGTGGTTCTCAAACTTTTTCGGTCATTCCCCACTTTGGACAAGGGGGAATTTTCAAGCCCCACTGCCCCCATCGCTCCAACACAATGAAATGCGCAACAAGCTTAAAATGTTCCAATTAATTAAAGTAAAAAGTAGTATCAACAAACTAACTATCTACATCAAATAACATAACAGCAAGTTCAAAAATAGAGAAAATAAAAGTGCAGCTGTGTCAAAATGTGTATCAAGTTCAAAAATAGAAAAGAAATAAAAGTGCCACTTTGCAATCTGTTAAAAAAAGAAAAGAAGAGAAATCCATTTGGCAAGACAGGTCTAAAAAAATTAAAATAGACATAACATAGGCTACTGTGTTTGATATGGGATTAAAATGATGGGCAGTGTATGAGATATAAACTAATGATTAATTATTTTAATATTCCTTTGTTCCGATCAGAGCATGTGAGCGGAGAGTGCATTTCTGCATTTCTGAATATTCCTCGGCTCGCTCATTCTGCTCAGGGTCGCGCGCTCAACCCTCAACCCAACCCCCCGAAAATATGTGGAATAAGGGCTGCCTCCGACTAAAGTTTTTTTCTAGTCGACAAGTAGTTGTTTATTTAAGCCATTAGTGGACAAATCGCCCCTTTATATTGATTTAATAACTTACATAGGCTATACACGAGTGTTATAAAGCCGCACTCAAGCGCACGAACCGGCAAAAATGAACGATGAACGAATAAAGATATAAAGGCATAAAAAGGAAAATTTCCTCCCGTTCGCGCCCCACCTGTCACGTCTCTATTCCCCACCAGTGGGGCGCGCCCCACACTTTGAGCGGCGACGCCGGCGACTGCCATCTGTAGTTAGGGGGCCCCCTAGTGGCGGCGGGGCCCTAAGCAGCCGCTTAGTTCGCTTATAGGGAGAGCCGGCTCTGGCCACGTCTTTAAAATTCGAACACATTATTCTCTATGTACACACACCGGCAGCGCCATTCGGCGTTGTTAATGTAAAAACTGTCTGACTTCACTCTGTGCTGCATGCAATATACATTTAGTTTTACATTCATTTACAGAAATCAGTTGCTTGAATGAAAATTGCTGATGTTATCGGATTTTCAGGTGAGATTCTCAATTCATTCAGTTAACGGACACTCTGAAGTGAAGTGTTCAGAGTCTGCAGACTAGCAACGATTGTACAGTACAATCATAACATAATACAGACATTATCTTAATTCCATAATGTCCTTAAACATAACAATATTGCTGGCCATAAACTGAGAAAGTGCGCGTCTGATGTGCGATACCTCGAGTTGTCCTAGACGCAGCGCGGCGCTTCTCGTCCTGTGTGCGACCCCCTTGCTGCTTGTGAAAACGTTTTTTTTAAAACATTTTGCACCCATGTAGTGCATGTTCTGAAATTAAATTAACATTGCCCTGATACACACACAGTGTTGTTAAGGTGTTTTTTTAGTCAAAAGGTACATAGCTTTTTTTTTTTTTTGTTCCGTTACCTCCAACCCCCGTTTTGAGTCGCTGGATGCACCCCCCCTCTGCGCTCCGGGACCTCCCACTTTACAAATTAAGCACTGGGTAGGATGCTCACTTAGAAGGCAGCTATCTATGTAGGCAGTTGACAGCGAGGCTTAGGTTTTGGAAGTCTTCTTGTCTATCGCTGATGTACCTGAATGCCTGGGAATGGGGTGACCTCTGATCCCGTAGCGATGAGGATGTTCTTGGAGTTAATGACTTGTTCTCCGTCAGCAGTCTTTGCGGTCACTTGATTCTTACCAGTTATCATTCCAAAACCATTGACATGAGTTACCTATGGATCGAAAACAATCATTCTGTATGGCTTTAAAAGGTTATTGGTTTACTGCTACATGTGAACAACAATGAATATTCAAAAACAAATGAAAAAAAATCTCACTTTGTTTTGTTTGAATAAGTGTGCGATTCCTCCTGTCAGAGCTTTGACAGCCCCGCTCTTCTGCGCCATCATCTTCTCCAGGTTCAATGAGATCCCCTGAACTAATGAAGAATAAATCATTATGAAATGACTAAAAAAATTATTAAAGTGCCCCTATTATGCTTTTTCAGATATTACTTTTTATGTAGAGCGCAATAAAGCCGTTTATGAATGTAGAAGGTCTGCAAAGTTTCATAGATCAAATTGCACAATAAATAGAGTTATTGTCTTCCAAAAGAAAGAACCGATTCTGAACTGCCTGAAACGAGTCGTGAATAATTCCAGTCTTTCTTCCTGCTCGAGCCTACTTACTTTAACCCGCCCTTAATCCCTGTAGCTGTAGCTGAGACTGAATGAGTTTGGTTTGTGTTGTCAACATGTCGAGAAGACACTAGGTGTGTTCGACTTCATGCAGCTCTGCGCAGACCGATCGGCGGCTGACTTGAAAGTGCATGCCGGTTAAAAATTTTGTCCGACTTGATGCAGCGCCGACGCCACATGACTGTGAAGTATGCCATCAAAGTACCGCGAGAGCGATTCGAGAGTAGCCGGAGGACTCAGCCAGCGCAGCTTCTCAAGAGCAGCTGCACAAGCTCTGATGACGACACAGCTGTTCCACGATTCGCCGGGTTCACCGCATGACAATGATCACGTGCATTTCGTGTTTATTCTCACACCTTCAGTTCCACTAAAGCGCACAAATCAGTTTTTTTATAACAGTAAACAGTCTTTTCATGTAGTCGCGATGTTATATTGTGTCATGTTTATCAAAATAAAACTGATTAAAAAACGTGATATAGGCTTATTAGGGCCCAAGCCTTGAAAAGGCGAAGGCCCTATTGTTTTCCTTAGGATTATTATTATTATTATTATTATTATTATTATTAGGGCCCAAGCCCAAAGGGCGAAGGCCCTATTGTTTTCCTTAGGATTATTTATTATTCTTCTTATTATTTTTCTGCTACCTTTTGGACACTTTTGGAGGCCTTAACATGCTCAAAAACTCCTGAAACTTTGCACACATGTCAGAACCCGCGGCCATCAGGGCCGGGCTGAAGATGGTACCCGGGCGTGGCAGGGGGGCTCGACAGCGCCCCCTGGAACGGGGTCCAAAAACATGGTCCATAAATCAAACACGCTTGCATGTAATAATATGAAACTCGGTACACATGTAGATCACCTCGTTTCATATATACTTCACACTCTTACTTTTTACCCCAGCCCAACAGGAAGTCGGCTATTTAGGGTTGTTGGTAAAACACACGCAATGGAATGTGAAATACTCCTCCTAGAGAATTCAAACAAACGGCACGAAACTCGGTCAGCATGAAGTCAAGACATTGAGGATGAAAGTTTGCGAGGGGATTTTTGATATCTCGAACGGTTTGGCCGTGGCGAGGAAACAAAATTATGGCGAGAAACGTGAAACAGGAAGTGTGTCATAACTACTGCATACATTAACTGATCTTGATGAAACTTCAACAGTGTGTTCGTTGTAAGAGGCCGATCACATGGATGTGACTATTGTGAGTCAAAATTATAGCGCCACCAACTGGCAGCAGGAAGTGTGTCACTTCCTAAATGCTTTGAAATCACCCTCTTATTTTTACCCGATTTGCTTCAAACTTTATGTGTATAATGTAAACACACGCCAGATGTAGACCTGTGAAAGGATTATTGATATCTTAGATACTGTTGCCGTGGCAACACATCAAACTTTAATATTCTTGTTTGATGCTTTTGAGACTCTTAGCATGCTTGAAATTGCATGAAACTCGACAGACACAGGTATGCATATGGTTCAGATCAAGCCGGACAACTTTCTAATTTACTGTCATTAGCTCAGACCAAGAGGAAGTCAGATATTTTGGTTTGAATGTGGATGTTTCTGAGAATTTTCTCTCCCTCTCCCTCTGACAGAGAGAATGCACCCTGCCATTCGTGTGTGTCTGTGTGGGGAGGGGGGGAGGGGCTCTTTTAGTTTAAACACAAAATTATACATAGGGCCATACTGCCCTCTTGTGTCCAAAATTATATTTATATATACATTATACATATATTTGGTATGTGACTGAGGACCGAGAGCTTTTAAATACGGGACATTGATAATGGCCACGTGCAGAGCGCTCGAGGGAATTCCTATGGAAGTAGGAATGAACTAAAAAACGTTCGCTCTGTTCTGCTCGCTCGTCGCCGCGCACCATTATGAATGCCAGTGCAGCCGCATACTTTTTAGTGTCACTTTAAAATTAGTGCAATAACGGGGCCGATTGCTTGAATTGTGAGTTCAATAGTCTATTATTTTTCACGGAAAACACAACAACAAAAGAGTACAAGGATAGATTCGCTGAAATAGGGGCTTTTACATAAAATAGCCTATTCCGTCATCATCTTTTCAGTCAGCTCTTCACTCTCGTGATTAATGAAATTTGACTCCTGTTGCTGATATTTGCTGCAACTTTCATTCCGCTCACAATTTAGTAAGCAAACACGCTTCAAATGTGTTTTTATTTTATTTTTGTGTATATATATGTGTGTGTATATATATGTGTGTATATATATATATATATATATATATATATATATATATATATATATATAGCTTATGTTTCAAATATGAGTTAATTAACAATCGTTGGAAAGAATGATACTTTTAATATCACTAAACCGTCATTAGGTGTCGCCAGGCGACCGTCTTAATGAGCGAGTCATTGATTCATTCGTTCAAACGATTCGTTCGAACGGCTGAGTCATTCATGAATGAGACAGATTATGGATTGGTCGTTGAATCTTTGAGTCAACCGATTCGTTCAAAATGCTGAATCATTCAGTAATGAGAACGCGTTGCTGTGAGATGCTCGATGGTTCTGCTGTGATCTTTGTTTAACTATTTTCGCTGCTGAAACAGAAAAAAAAGTCAATATTGCATCTAAAATGTAAGTGATTTGACGTGTGTGTGTGTGTGTGTGTGTGTGGGTGTGTGTGTGTGTGTGTGTGTGTGTGTGTGTGTGTGTGTGTGTGTGTGTGTGTGTGTGTGTGTGTGTGTGTGTGTGTGATTGTGTCTGTTACAGTGATTGTTTAACCCTTGTTAAAGTTTAGGCCTTGTCTTTTTGGATATATATCTTTTTATATAAAAAAAAATAGCATACAACCCATGTATTTTAAATGTATTGTTTGCTTTAAATTACATTGAGATTTGTATGTTTGGTAATTGAACCTGAATGAATTATAAATGAATGTGCTATATTTCAGATCATATATTTGTTTTCCTTAAAATTTGAACTAACACTAACTTTATTCTCATCTGAATGATAGATTATTTATTTCTGTATAAAATAAAAACACATTTGATTTTTCTTTTTTAATCAATGTAGAATGTGTAACTGAAAAAATAAACAGATTAGGGCTCTGATCGAGGACAATAATGTCAAAAAAAGAATCAGGGCATGTCTCATATCTTTCTAAAATGTAATTATACACCATTTATTTTTATATAAAATTATACAAATATTAGAACTAAACCCATTTTATTCCTTTTTTTCAATTTAAGAATTATTTTTAAGTTTAAAAACAGCCAGAATGGTTGTTTAGTCAAAAATAATAATAATCCAAATCATATATAGTGCTATACTGCCCTCTTGTGTTCAAAATCAGGTAGGCCTATTGAATTTATATATATTTATATATTAGGGATGTTACTATGGGAATATTTTCCCACCGGTTAATCAACGTGTGATTGTGTAAACCAATTGTGTAAACCTCCCGCTGGGGGGTTTAAAAACACTAACTTGAAAGCGAAAGTATAATATGGACGTCCGCACGGACATTGAAATGGTGGCGCTCGAATGAATTCCTATGGAAGTAGAAATTAACTAAACGTTCGCTCTGTTCTGCTCGCTCGTCGCCATGGACGCGCACCATTATGAATGCCAGTGCAGCCGCATACTTTTTAGTGTCACTAAAATTAGTGCAATTTCGGGGGCCGATTGCTTGAATTGTGAGTTCAATAGTCTATTATTTTTCACGGAAAACACAACAATAAAAGAGTACAATGACAGATTCGCTTAAATAGGCGTTTTTACATAAAATAGCCTATTCCGTCATCATCTTTTCAGTCAGCTCTTCACTCTCGTGATTAATGAAATTTGACTCCTGTTGCTGATATTTGCTGCAACTTTCGTTCAGCTCACAATTTAGTAAGCAAACACATTTCAAATGTGTTTTTATTTTATTTTTGTGTATGTCTGTGTATATGTATGTATATATATAAATATAGCTTATGTTTCAAATATGAGTTAATTAACAATCGTTGGAAAGAATGATACTTTTAAACATAACACTAAACCGTCAGTAGGTGTCGCCAGGCGACCGTCTTAATGAGCGAGTCATTGATTCATTCGTTTGAACGACTGAGTCATTCATGAATGAGATAGATGTTTATGGATTGATTGGTCATTGAATCTTTGAGTCAACCGATTCGTTCAAAATGCTGAATCATTCAGTAATGAGAACGCGTTGCTGTGAGATGCGCGATGGTTCTGCTGTGATCTTTGTTTAACTATTTTCGCTGCTGAAACAGAAAAAAAGTCAATATTGCATGTAAAATGTAAGTGATTTGACTTGTGTGTGTGTGATTGTGTGTGTGATTGTGTCTGTTACAGTGATAAGAGTTTAACCCTTGTTAAACTTTAGGCCTTGTCTTTTTGGATATATATCTTTTTATATTAAAAAATAGTCATACAACCCATATATTTTAAATGTATTGTTTGCTTTAAATTACATTAAGATTGTATGTTTGGTAATTGAACCTGAATGAATTTTAAATGAATGTGCTATATTTCAGATCATATATTTGTTTTCCTTAAAATTTGAACTAACACTAACTTTATTCTCATCTGAATGATAGATTATTTATTTCTGTATAAAATAAAAACACATTTGATTTTTCTTTTTTAATCAATGTAGAATGTGTAACTGAAAAAATAAACAGATTAGGGCTCTGTTTGATGACAAGAAATGAAAACCAATGCGATATGATGAATGTCCAAAAGTTGGCTCCCAC